CTTGCGATACACCAACCATAACCCCATCCACACATCCCACATACTGTGTAAACCCGAGGGAATAAGACCGGGAGGCATATGTTTGGGAGCCACATTTCATCAACAGAGCCGGCCCACGTTCCACCAGCATGCACAGCAGCCGCATTTCTGTCTATCTATGTAGGCAATCATGCGTAGCAGACATACACATGGCGGTGGGTGGGCCGTAGTCCGCTCCACATTGGATGGAATCAGTCGTTGAGCCTAACAGGCCACGATGACCGTGCACTCCGTCCTCCCAGTAACGATTCACAGTCTCCTGGAGCCAGTAAGCGAGGTGGAGGATGTTCGACAGGCAGGCACCTTGTCAACATTCACCGCAAGCGCAGCCACGCCGGGGATATCAAACAACCAACAGAGAATCTAAGGAAAAGCAAAAACGCAAACTTGATACAGACTATGCAACAGCACTGAACCAATCAAATAAGTGGAATAACTTGCATGCAGATTAAAAAGACCTGGTTTAAGTGTATGTCGATTTAGCCCAACTGCGGTGAAGAAGCATCATGAATTTAACCTGAATCTCAACATGAGGAACCATATGAATACGCAAAAATATGCATGATAAACATGCAAACCGGACAGTACATGTGCGGCAGAATGACAGTACAGAGCAAATCAAAAAAGGATCTGAATTCTACTCTACTGTTACGGTGACGTTAGACAGGTGTAGGTGTAAATCAAAGGATATTAGGCGACTAGCATAAAAATGAAACAGCAAGAGAAAACGCGCAGAATAAACAGGGAATATGCAGAGGATAAAAAACCCCGAAAATCAATTAAAATAAACTACGAATGCAAACATACTTCTTTGCATTACACGTTGGCAGGAGATAAGTGAGGAGTTAGCTATTGTGCAACGGTACAAAAATATGAGATATGAAAAAGCGATATTCTAATCAGTACAGAATGCAAGTTAAAGACCAAAAACAAGCAATATAATATTAGGCACCGGGACTCAGATCGTGGTTGCAGGGGAGAGCCAAAGTGCAGGGGGAGAAAGAACCTCACAACACGAACGCCGTTGAAGACGGTTTTCTGACATGTCAACCAGTGAATCAAACCAAGCATGTTCATCGTCCTTCGGACCCCAGCCCGGCAATCTGGAGGCATTAAACGTAGTCACATTCAAAGTGAGGGTTTTCATTATTCTTGACCGAAACATCACTCGGTCTCCCCTATTCTTCATCCGTCCACACCATCGGCGCGCAAAATAACGCACGTCGCGGGAGTCGGTGTGCTGGCATGTGCAACGCGTGACCCAGTCATCGGAGCCTCATACATCAGATATCGGTGCCGAACTGTTCACTCGCTCTTCCTGCACCAAATAGGAGACGTGGAACAAGGTCGCTGCTCAGGCGGTGTTCCCAGCAGACATAGGCTAAGCCGCGCGGATGGCAATGGCCGGATATAGTTCTCCTCTTTCTGTCTGTCGATCAGATGGGTCAGGTTACACAACTGCACAGAAGGGTTGTAGGCACGACTACGTTGAGAACACTGTACTTCAGAACGAGAGTGATATCCCGCTGCGTCACAGGTGGTGAAGAGTTGAGGACACGCCTCCAACTTTTGTTATAGGGTTCGTGACTTCATCCTCTATTTCACAAGCGATTATACTACTGCCTGGCCACTTATATTTGGGAACTACTTATAGCTGAGCATCACCAAGGCTTAGTGAGGAGTTGGGTATCTACCAATCTTGGAGTAGGACTTTGGATTTCATAGGTCCGAAGCGCAGCTCGAAATGACTGGAAGGCAGTGCAAATTTGTTGTTTTGCTTAGAAAGTTTGTTAGCTGGCACAGCTTAGGGTGACATAATCGGCATACCTCAACTCAAGAAGACAGTCACCGGAGAGACGCTCCACACTTACTAAGTCGTGTCCAGTGAGCAACAATTTCATAACTGTGCCAATGGCGGACAACCTTGGATCACACTGCTGGAGATATCGAAAGGGAGTGAGAGTCTACCATAAACCCTCACTCCACCTGAACTATGCGTTTGCAGCGCCGGCGTAATGTTTACTTATTCCTCGAACACACCTCTCTTAAGTAGACAGTGCCAAAGTGCACATTGATCTACTGAATCTACGGCACCTTTTAGATCGAGGAACACGACTGTCGTGGATACTCAGTAAATATGAAGGCGCTCTAAAATCGACTTCGAGAAAACTTGGTTTGATCTTCACGATTCTGTCTTCGAAGGTTACCAGGCTACGGAGAATGACAGACACAAGTAAAGTAGCATCAATGGAGATCAGACTGATCCCACTATATTTGCCGCATTTCGAATGTTAGCATCATTTGAAAATTGGGACTATAACGAATCAGCTCCAGTCTTTTGGTACAGTCTCCTGCTCCCACAGCTTCATTAGTAAGTTTTGAAAAACACTCACGGCACCATATCAACCGACTTTGAAGAGGGTCCAAGAAAGACTATTTGCCACTGCGGCCTTATTCACTTTCAACTGATCCTACATTCAACTTCTGTGCGCGATGGCGCATCCAAGGAATGGCCCAGGGAGTAGGACGGTCACTAGCCGGTGGCACACGCAGATTAAACTGTCTTTTACAGTGCTCAGACCGACGCTGCAAGGGCTTTGACTGTTTGTGAATATGTCATCCAATGTTGCCCCATCTATGATCTCTAACCGCTTTCAGTCTGGATAACCAATGATGGTGGCGGAGGACAGAAACCATTTCAATCTCCAATGCACAGTGAGACAGCCAGGCTTCACGGTCACTTTTTAGCCTGGCAAGGAGTATTGCCCTCAGAGCTTTGCCAGTCTCGTTGTGTTCGCTTCCAGCCGGAACGCGTCGGTTGGCATCGAGGAGTTGCAGAAACTACGTAAAGACCTAATGTCCAAGTTGGCAATCAGACATGTCAATTGAAGACATGCCTGCTGCTAATAACGTCTGGAGGTTATGCGCCCAGTGACCCTCCAATGTGTTCGGTTAGTAGTTACATAGCCAACATGCCAGTGCAGTTCGATACACATTCAGCAAACCTAGGTTCCTTAATTGGTGTATGCCTGCGCGCTCACAGCGTCATCCTGGGCATCCGTCGAAGCAAACTAATAAATAGACGCGTGCAGGTGTGTGATCGAAGTTCACGGTTCTGCTCAAAATTGAGCGACACTTTTGAACACAGCCACTCCAACGGTAACCGACTGCAATTTGCCTCCATGGCTACGAAGCTGGTGGGTGCCACGTCACTCTTCTGCCAGAAATAGACGACCCCCCTCACCGTCATCATTATAGGAGCCTACACCGTGTTGGACGACAAGATGAAGCACATCAGTGGAGAGTTATTCCAACTTTGGTGTTCAAATCACCAACAAGTACCACGATATCTGTACTTTTTATATAAAGAATAAGCTCGTTCAGTTGTTGTTGTAAGTCAACTTTCATCAAGTCCGTGCTACAGTCTGTGGGGGCGCAGATAATAATGACAAACGGACGCCGTTTATTCGCACGTGAATTTGAAGTTTTGAACGAGCCAACCAATCTGACAGCGCACATTCGGCTGTTATTCGGGATCCAGTCGATCAGGGCAGCCTCAGGGACGGGGCTCAGAGCAATGCCCACACAGTTTGACCGGCATTTGAAACTGCGTCATCTCCGGACAAGCGCAGTGAGAACATACTAATAGTGTCCCATGTGGGGAATGGCATTGTAATCACATGGCTCAAATTTTACTGACGGGTTGCCGATGAAGCAAACCACGATCGATAGATTACCTAGTGTTCAGACAAGCGCTACCTGTTGGCCAAGCTGTAATAAACTGCGTACGATGAGATATGCCAGGCTTAGCGATAACCAAAGGCTCCAAAAAACGGATGAACTGGCGTCTGCCTGGCTGATTACGGACTTGGGGACTGGACTGAAGCGACGGCCTGCGATTGTGTGTGTGAGTGAAAAGCATCAAGCAAGCTACAATCGAAGCAAATAGGGAGAGGGCCAAGATCTGGAGGAACAACATTGTAGCTGGAAGAAGAGGACAACAAAGTAAAAGCGCAAGAGGAGGAAGAAGAAGACGGGAAGTTCTGACAGTAGCATCCTTACCCCTGTCCACTCTGTCCGATGAAACAGATAGGGTGCCGTTGATTATTCTCTGCGACAGCAAGAACATCAAGAAATTGTTGGAAGAGCGGATTATTAGATTGTATTGAGTGAACCAAACACTGTGAGGTTGCTCAGGCACAGAAAGGAGAAAAATTAGGGTTCGCAACCAAAGCATTTAGTTCAAAAACCTGGCCGCGTTCAACGGTTTCCGCGATGGTTACTTACTACTGAGGAGTTGTCATCAATTATTTGGTCTGCTTCGCTTAGTCTATGAATCTTGACTGCTTGCTAGTCCGGCGTTTCGGTCCATAGACGATAGATAAGTGTCCAATGCTCCAAGTAACCAGTAAACGTTCAATGGTTTCCAAAAAGTAATCGAGTACTTGGTTGACTACTTTTAGATAGACTTCGGTACCAACCAAATGATATCTGTTAAAAATTGATTTAAATCCACAGCCAAGATGTGTGGCCCTACATGGTGGTACCTATGAACGGAGCTGATACTGACCTTTTACGGTACATATGCTTCCGTATTGCTCCATCCGTGCATAGACTTTGTATTATTTCTGTGTGAAGTAGCACATAGTCTGTCAAGTATAACCCACAGAACTTGTTCATATATGCAAAGCTCACGTTAAAAACAATCTTTTAGAAAAGCACCGCAGCCTCCCCAAATGGTTGTGACTTCGTTGGCCACTTAACTTTAATACGTGGTAAACCTCTCACTCATCCAATAATGAAAGTTATGTCCCGAAGATCTTATAACTACATGATTTGTAAAGCAATTACCTTGAGCTGCGCATCATATCCAAGTAGATGTGTGACTAATCCGTTCATTTAGCACTGAGAGGAACAAATGTAAGAAAATACGCTGATCACTGTCATCAACTTTAACTCACTCAAACCGAGGCCTTGAAAAAAGTACAGCGCAATTTCGGCGACTTTTTCCGGCTAAAATTGGAGGGCAGATGCAATCTGATCAGTGACATCGCATTCTGGCACAGTGATTGCTGTATTGACCTAGCCCAGATGCTTAGCTGCTTCATGAGTGTATTTCTAACAGATATGTCTTGAAAGCAGTATGAGGTCATGAAAGGTAAATGGAACAGTTGGGTGTTTCTGTAAACGCAAAACTACACTGAAACAGAGTGAGATAAACAAGGAATAATGACACTCCAATGCTGACCGCTGGGTTATACACTGTGTCAGAAAACTGTGACACAACCCATAACAAGCCACTAATCGCCAGCTAAAGCGGTATCCAGTGTATGCGCTGTCAGTCATTCCATCACTGCGGCAGTCCCCTTCTGAACAGGCACATGTGATCTGGAAAATCCCACGCGGGTATTTTATGCCAAACATGATATACCATCACAAGCAGTATGGTGAGTAACTGGTATTCAATTTGAAATCCGCATGATGTCAAAGGCACAAATGAACTTCGTAGCGTCATCATACGAACATACACTAATTGGTGAGGTGCACAATATTCAGCTATGGATGCAGTATGTGTCTGGACAACGCAAAGTATAATCAGCCGCAGCAGGGCTGCCTATAACATTTCACGCGTTGTCGCGTGAGCCGTGTAGCTAGAAATGTGCAACAACTTTCAAGGTAGTAACTGTACAGTTTACCTTCACGGATATAGTCCAAGATACGCTTTAGCTGCACCACATGCAGCTGGAGCGCATCGTAACAAAAATTCATAGGCTGACAACCGAGTCGAGTTTCCTGTCAGATTATATCCACTAAGTTCTGACAGTGGCCTGCCAAGGGTCTGTGTTCGTTTGTGAACCCCTCATTGGCTGTCGAATGGAAGTAGGATTGAATGTGGTAGCGCGTACAAAGCTTAATCGATGAGGCGAAAAGTGAGGAATGCCACGAAATATAGGAAATATGGGAACTGTGTTGGTTCGATAAGATGGAAAAGATATCAGTGGGAAATATCGGAAAGTGGATGGTTATGTGACGTAATGCCTAGTAACTACAGACTCAAGTAGTTACTGCCTCACTTGGTGCACGAGTCGCGCACATGCAAACATCTTTCTCGTGAAATTGAGAACAGTGCGTAAGAATGGTGATAAGAAAAAAGGACTTCGAACCACGGTAGCAAAAGAGTGGCGTAACAAGCTCACTGTATTCATAACGCACTGAGTATTGGTACCCCAACACAGTGAGCAATTTCACCTTGCATGTTTCATACTGAAAAACAGCATTATTTCACAAAATAGCAAACACATGGGACTCGGGTTTGGAATACAGCAGGTTATTCGACTACAATATTAGCGCTATTATCAACCCAATGGTGCAGGGGTATGGAGTGCAAACTTCCGGAGAGTTCAAAAAGGTTGATAGTTTAGAGGAGTGGATTTAACGATTCGCACGGTTCCTAAGCATGCTCGCTGGACTCCGTGTATCGCAACAGCACGAATACTCGTCATCAGTGTGACAGGTGTTAAAACATTTCAATTTCTTTCGAATACAAATGATGCAAGGCTTTTCCCTGTCGGATACAAAGTATATGGCGAACACCAGCTCAAGTAGGTTTATTCAACATTGCGATCCACCATGTGTTGATGGTATTTCAGGATGGAGAGAATGAAGCTCACGGATTCCACTGCCGTCATTGAGTTCTCGCTTCTAAATGGGGGCTGTTAACTTTGACACATCCGTGCCTCCTTTACACCAGCCCACTCGATTGTACACACATCAAGCCGGTAGTAATGTGACTGATTAGAAGGGGAACCAAACTGCTCGATGAACAAACCGAGTGACCCATTTGATAACATGCGGGTAATGCTGATAAGATTCTGCTAGGAAACATGGTTAGGTACTTCGGTGTTAAAACTATGCCCACCGACCTATGAAAAATGTTTGCTGTTGTGCGTCAGCATCAGGAGGATTAGCTGGGAGGGATACATAGTGATAAGCTGGTGGAACAGTAATTTGTTAATTTACATAGTAGCATTATGGATGAAAATGAAAGAGGTGATTTGGAGTGTTTATTCGCTAATACCCTTGTGACCACTGAATTGGCGGTTACCCAAGAATGAGTTTATTGTAGCGATTCTCCACTCCTCGGTGCTATCGGGAAGAGTTGGTCTGTATAGGCCACAATGCAGTTGCTGCTGAACCACTTTTCACTTAAGAGGGACCATGATTATTTTCGCCTTCTCTGAAAATTCCGTGAAGATTGACCATGGGTCAGATGTTACGGCATCAACGCAACAGTTATCCAATCCTTCGGGCAAACGTACACAGACTAATAGGTGCTTTCCATGCCCAAACTTGCATCCACCACTACAGCTATAAAATTCACTGCAAATGATACGTATACAGCGCATTGCTTTGTTATTGGTCGTGTGATTTTCGGGACTTTCAATTAGATGAACATGTTTGTGAATACATCGGATTCCTCATACACCATACATGTGTACTCAATTCCGGCAAGCTTCGGGTATCCATCAGATAGTAAAATTCCGGACATGACATTTTAGTGATAAAATTTGTGATAAGTAAGTTATTAATGAACAAGTACGGTGCACCAAACTCTATACACCTGTATCCCTCACGCTTCCAATTCTTTTCTGAAGCCGATGCCTGGAATCCAATAACATGTCGATTCTGTTTACGCAACATATACCGAAGGTAAGAGCCGTCTCCGGCCTAGTTACATAAGACAAACTCCGCGATATATCAAGTACGCTGAGTGGCAGAAATCTCGGGGTCAGTTCGAGGTTTCACAGTAAAGGAACACCTGTCTGACTGGTTTTCATGAAGTTTTCTCGCAACTTGACTCAGTTAGACAGCCATTACACATCCAGCAAAGTGCTGGACGGCCATTTCGTTCTATTAGGACATGCCAGTAGCGCGCATCAGCCGAATCCTGCAGGATTCGAACCCATGCCCTCTATCTTACGTGTCAGTGACTTGTGCCACTAGGCCATGGGTGACGGCGGCGTACCAACATGATTGATATCTAACTTCAATATAACGCGACTCATCTTCCACTCTCGCACATGTTATGAGCATGAAGGAGATAAGGCTGACCCCCAGAGCAACGACCTTCGCAAGCCGCCACCAATCGAGATGGCATGTATGCTGCTAAGACCATTACTGATTTTTAGTGAGCAGTAAGGGGAGTTATTGTAAATTGGTGATGATTTCCAGCATCCAGACTCAGCTAGTGGCTGTCTAGTTGGGTCTGGCTGTGAAGAATCTTCACAAAAACCATAAATTCCCTTTCTTCTCTCTATTACCTGTCTAGCTGGGTTCACTGAGTTGGGTCATTAAACACACCTGTAATGCTCCGTGATCACGCGAACCGCTTACGCTAGCAATGTGCAAGCACATTTTGGCGTTCTGTTACCCGATGTATTACATCACGAGGTTTCGAACTACAAAACGTCCCAGAGAGTTATAGTTTCTGCGATTTTCCGAATCCATAGTTGCAAACCGGATAGGACCGGTATCACTAATATAAAACATCTAGTTGCCAACTTCCGATGGCAGTGACCTTGCCAACACCAATGGTCGCTTCACTACGCATAACCGGCTCCGTAACAGACTTCGAACTTTATATAAGACATTATTACTCAATATAATGGCACTGCTTGGGCAATACGAAAAGCGGGCATTTACCAGCGTCCGTCTTTTCATTGCCAATAAATACCCGTATAAAGTAACTGGGTTCACGTATGAATCTTAAAATTGATGTAGGTTTTGAGCATTGCTCGTTCTCAGTACTACGCTACACAGTCCGCTTCGTTCTTGCTAAGACATCCGAGGACTCGATAAGCCAAGAACACTAGCAAACCAGGAATGTATTGATTATAAAACATGTTCGCTATTGTACCGAGTCTAGAAAGTTTCTACTTCAAAGGAAACGACTAAGTCTTCCTATGGAGCAAGCTGTGGTTAAAATTGTGACCACATATGGAATCGAAAACACCCATTAGGTGATCCAGAGTAGAATACAAAGCAAACCGTCTGCACTTTTTACTATCTAATAAGCAGAATAGTCCTGCAGCACTGGAACAAGAAATATTTAAATGCGCGCTCGGGAATGTGATCCTTGAGGCATTGATGGAAATCAGGTGATGTCAATGCTTAAAAATCTCGGAGAATTCTCGTGTTAACTTAATAGACATTGTATAGACGGGTAAGAATGGAATAGCAATCCTAGTTCAGAAAAAAACCGTTTCATTAGCAATTCGTTATCACTCCAACGACCGTCAGATTCATTCATAGCACACTAGTGAAATCAGAAGGACATCGGATATTGAGTTGTCGCACATTCAAAACTTGCGAAACATTAAAAGCATGACAGAAATATATGTGAATATCAACTGGTGGAAGAAAGATAAATCTGGGAAATGGCCACCTACCTTTTACACAATATCGGGACATGTAAGAAGTGCAGTAATATATGATGTAATTACTAACAACCCTTTGGGCATCAGCCATGGATGGTTGGAACTCCAACCGAACAGACCGATGCGCCCCGGGTTCCAGAGTATAACACATCTCTCTGAACCGAGGTTCCAAGTTGAGTGCTTGTCAGCACTGGTCCCAGCATAGTTTGGGATTTACAACGCTTTGTTGAATACTCCATTTCCCGTACAAAATCATGATGCTGTAAACGGCTTGCCGATAGGATTGTGAGTTGCTAATAATCGAAGTCTACTACACACACTCAAATATGCTGGAACATTAAGTTGTCTTTAGACACACGAAACAGTGCGGCGGTATCCGCTGTAAGCTGCAAACAAATTAGAGGAAACCGATTATCAAATACGATTTCCCTGTGTATATTTACTGGACTGTGAAATGATTTTCAACAGCCTAAAGCGCTAGAACCATTAGCTGCGAATACAGTATGAAGATTTTTGTGGCGTAAATGCTGAACGCCGGCAAGGTGCTTTCGGTCATTCCTGCTGGCCTTATTAGTC